TGTGTTTGATTTTAAACTAAAATTTATAATCCCAAAGTAAAACCTAAATTTTAAATTTCTTATCATCCAAAAGTATTGGACAAGTGCATTGAAGAGTACCAATTTATAAGAAGACAGACACTCCAAATTTGGTAACCATCATCCATCTTATTTAACTAAGGACAAATTTAATCTTCATTGGACATTTAATCAGTATAGCCTACTAGGCCCAAAACTCAACTCATCAAGATATACATATTTCAAATTGAACTTTTATTCAAAATTTAATCTTCAAATTCTATTTTATTTCATTAAATTCAGTGAAACCATTTGGAATCTTTCTTTGGACATTAACATTATTAGCCTATATTAATAGCATCATGAACCTAGCTTAACTTATTTCAGAACGATAACTAAATTAAATTATTTGCATTTTAAAGAAGCCTAATATATCATTCGAACCAGCACGACCACCCCTCCCTGAGATTAAGAGTTCATAGCCTATTTAAATATTAATTAGTACTTAAGAAGAAACCAACTCAATATAGGCCTAAGCCTAGAGAATCTTTTCATCCACTTTGGAACCCCACCATTTTGAAAATTTACCATCATTGTTAACTTACCCTGTAGCTAATTCAACCAATAACTTATCTTATATTTGTATTTCGTTAATAAATTTTATATTGTAACAAATCAAATCTATTTATTCTTAAAATAATTCATATTATAAGATTAAGATAAAAACTTACCTTATTAAACAGAAATAAAACACAAATTAGGAATTATCTTTATTAGGAAAGAAATGACTTTGGGTTCAATGTGGGCTAACTTAATAGCCATAGGAATTTTGTAGGCCTAAGTTAATGAAAAGTCTATCGAAAGCTTTATGGTGCGTAGCAATTAATAGGCAGGGCCGGTTTAACCCATACGCGAACTACGCGGCCGCATATGGCGCCACGAAAAAGTGGCGCCATGGCGCCAACGGAACATTTTTTTTTACGTGAACAACGTAATTTTGTTTATTTTTGCTCAGAGTTCAAGTATTCAAAGCACCACAATAAAGGCATTTATTCTGTTTGTACCAACAGCCCTTGAAAAATTTGTATATTTGTACAGCACTACAACTCAAGGACTCAATGCCATTTGCAGTTACGATTTGAAGTGAGCTGACGCTCGGCAGTCGGCAGCGTCAGCGCCAGCGCGGCACTTATGGGTTTCATTTCACGACTCACTCATGCTCGAGATAAGCAAGCGCACAGCGCCACTTGTCACAACAAGAAAGGTCAGGTCCTTCCCCTTTCTTTCACTCCTTTCTGCCTCTGATCCTAGAGCGGAGCACTACGTTGTATTGCACTCTTTTAGTTGTATACGTAGGCCTATACCGTATCGGTATCGTATCGGTATCGTTTTGATGATTCATGATTGTTGATACGCGAATGATTACGAGTGTTTTAAGTTTAATTTATAATTAGCGCATTAAATAAGAAGAAAGTATAAACCGAATGAATGAGTAAAACATCTTGCGAGCCGATACTATGAAAACAATGGCAGAAAAAAAGAAACCGTTTGGCACTTATTATAGAAAGCGTAAGGCGAATTTGGAAGAGGAAGAAAAAAAAAACAAAATCAATGAGTAGATTTTTGTAGAAATCATCTGGTGGCGAGTCCAGTCAGCCCAAAGAAATCACGATAGAAGACGGCAATGACGTAGGTATTTATTTATTTATTTTCCAAGGAAAGATTAAAACAAGCAGCTGATCACAAACGGCAAACATTACGTCATTGCCGTCTTCTATCGTGACGTCATGCTTGACAAGCATTACGGCCTGTTTTTTTAGTGTGTCCTTGGTTTTGCTATAGTTTATATGATGAGTAAAAGTGTATAAATGTCACATTTCTGCGAATAATAAACAGTCTTTTATTGCAAGTTAGTATTCTTCTACCTAAACTTATAAAAAAGTTCTTCCCAAAATTAGTGGGAAAAAATTCACAAATACGGTTAAGTTATGTTCATGGGTTTGGGGGGTGGGGGGGGAATTTTAAGTGGCGCTAATTCGGGTGTTCGCTTAACTCTGAAAAATTCCTAGAACCGGCCCTGTTAATAGGTAAGCATGTTTCTTTAAAACCTTTTTTCTCAGCTTGTGTACATCACAGGGAAAATCTACGCATACTGTTGGAAAGATATTTTCCTGTAGATGTGCAGAATCCCTTTATAAATTAAAATAGGCCCAAAATAAGAACAAAAATGAGTTTAAAATTTTGAAAAAATTAACATGGATATTTATGAGTTGCCATGCTGGTGACGAAATAACAACGAAATATAAACAGAAAATCAAAACAAATGTAAGAAACTCCAATCACATGTTTTATTTACAGTATGGGGTGAAAATAGAGAAGTCCGTACATTACATATTTTTGGTCGAGTTTCGACCACTGGACGACCTCTAGTAATTAGTTAATAGGCGGTAGCCACATATTAAAATACTGTTTACTGTTTAACCTTTACTGTGTAATGGTTAATTTAACAAATATACACTGTCACTAAATCTAATTTAAATTTTGTAAGTATTGATTCTACAATACTACTTTCATTCATGTTTCCTGTGTAGGTAAAGAATATAAAAATAAATTGAAGTTTACGACAGAGAGACACAAATCAGACACTCACTAAAGAGAGACACTTTTTTAAAAATTTTTATGAATTTTTCCTTTAACGAGGGCGCAAATATTGGAATTTTGAGAAGGCGTATCGGCCCACTGGCCGTTGGGCCGGCGGGCCAGTCCGCCCCTGTCTACCAATATTTTAGGGCATTGCTCCTGGGTAAGAAACATAACAAAATATCATATTTAAACTGTCCGGAAGTCATTAGTTACTCACACAGCCGCCATTTTGTTTTTTTCAGTTATTAATTTTTTTCTAAAGAATGATTAAACATACGAAATGGAAACTTTGCACAAACATTTATGACAACTAGACAAAGCTACCAAAAACTTATCACGATTTTTCAAATTCATAAAACTAAATGGCGGCCATTTAAAATTTTTGTAAAATCAATGATTTTGAGTTATTTAAGAAAGACAATTTTAAATGGCCGCCATTTTGTTTTATGAATTTGAAAAATCGTGATAATTTTTTGGTAGCTTTTTCTAGTTGTCATAAATGTTTGTGCAAAGTTTCCATTTCGTATGTTTAACCATTCTTTAAAAAAAAATTAATAACTGAAAAAAACAAAATGGCGGCTGTGTGAGTAACTAAGGACTTCCGGACAATTTAAATATGATATTTAGGTACGTTTCTTACCCAGGATCAATGCCCTAAAATATTGGTAGAGAGTTCCGGGACACCCTGTATAATAAGACATTACAAAATATACTGTATAACAATCCATATTATGGCCCTTGGACTAGACAAAGGGAGGCAAGTACCGATTATTCATGACAACTCTATTGTTGTTCATTCTGTTATGTCCGTCTCATGTCTTGTGTTTTATGTATATGATATAATTGTTTTGGTGTTTTGACATGTTGGTTGCTTTCAAAATATTGTGCTTGCAATAAAACATTTCATTCTCTTTTTTAATAGAAATTTTAGATTATATAGAGGGAAGTAAGATTTATAATAATTACTAGTGGCTTGTAGGGGCCATAGCCCCTAATTTAGACTACAATAAAAAAAACATATATAAAAATACAAATATTCGAAATATTTTTTTAAAATTATCAATTTTATGTTACTTTAACAGTGTTTCTTGTTTTATATCTTGGTTTTCCTTCCGTTGGAGTCGTATATTAGTTGCTTCTGATGTGTCAATGAAATACAATTGTAAAATAATGATTAAATCAATAACACAACATATTAACAAATGGAAACGTGCACATGGATTGGCCTGAGCCCGGAGAACGATGAATCAAAGCTGAAATCATACAGCCAAACATTGCACATCTTTTTTAGTTTAAAATTGAAGATTTGTTTTGTAATCTTACGAATTCTGTTATAGTTTCCATTTTGAGAACCAAATGTAAAGGTTAAAATTATTATTAATTATTATGAAGGCAACTCCCCATTTTGCGGTAGTAAGTCAGAAATATATCTACGCATTTGTCCCTGAATTTTAAGACAGTAAGGCCCATTTGCCAGAATCTCTTTTTGTGTAGCAGAAAGTGACGCAAAAGCCATTGCACTGTTGTATTGCCTTATGTTTTAATGAAGTTAGAATAATGTAAAAACTGATCTTTTAGTTCGTCATTTACTTGTGATTGTGGCATGTCCATTGTGGCAACATGCGTTGAAATGTCCATTTGTGGCCTCCTCTGTGAAGTGAAATGCGTCACAATGCATGCAAGTGCTTTAAGAGGACCTAGATTGTGAGAAACAACACTCAACTCATTTTCCAGCGTTCTTCTAAAGACAGGCTGCAAAACAGCTTCTGGATTTCTTTCACAGTTAGGCCCTACATGACGTTCTCTTTTGCATTTCTTAAGTCTGTTGAATTCCTGGACACTCTTCCATGTCTTGCAGGTCTTCCCCTAGCTTGTCTAGTTACTTAACTCATTATAAAAACGGAAAACAAAAAAATTAAATACAATTCATTTTGAAACATTATTTACCAACATTGACTTTCGGAATAAATGTAAACATTGCAAATAAATAAGTAACAGCTGATAGAATGCAGACGTTTTTCAGTCCCCATGCATTTCTTATGGTGGATATTTTACGTTATACCTCGTTTTCTGGTAACTTTATGGGAATTCTGCTATTTTTCCCGAGTCCCTGGGGTCAAGACCTTTAATTTAAGACCCCTCCCACCTTTCTGCGACTTACCAGACGTCCACAATTTTCTGGTAAAAATTTGGTCTTACAGAATTATATATAAGGATATCACTGTTAATCTACATCTTTGATTTTGATGAGGTTATTTTATTTGGATCCATTGGATTTTGGTCTGCTGCTAGCGAGTACTGCTAAATAAGGAGGAATTAACATGAAGAATATAAAATATCTTAATATATTTATTTCTTGTTTAAGCATTTACAATACTTTTTATTACATATTCATATATATATATTATATACAAAATACACATTTTCACCAGTATGACAGTGTGACTAACTGTTCTATTGTAATAAAGATAACATTTTACGGTACCTGGACGTTTTTGTATTAGTCTATTTTTTTAAAAGCAGTTAAAAAGACACTGTAGAAAACTAATCTATTTGGATTTGTTTTTGTTGTATTTGTGTTTGATGAGATTTAAAATATAATAACAACCAGTGTAAAAGATGGTTGGAAATGGTAAGCTAATAATTTAATAAATATGCAGCTGAAACATGAAAATAAGATTTTATGTAAAATCTCCATTCATTCCGGCTAGTATTTTTTAAATCCAGATTATATTTGTCTGATGTCATGATAACTATATTAGGGACAATAATACAAAGCTACTGAGGACGCTATATAATAAACAAGATTAGATTTGTTGCAACTGGTGAAAATCGACATAGGCCTACAAGTAGACAACATCGTACTTTGGTATTATCCGGAGGCCACTTTTTTTTGAGAGATTTTTTTACTTAAGACCATAAATAACTACATAATTGGAAAGTACATACTTTATTTAATTGACTTACTGTCCAAATTTGACATGATTACGATTAGCGGCCTTTGAGTTCTGCCTCCCAGAAGGCAGCAATGTCGGCGAGGATTGAGTTGAATGCGTCGCCGCCGCTATACTCTGCCAAGTAGGTATACAGCGCATTGCGGCGGTTATTTTAGGTTTGGTTATCATAAATATGTTTGTAAGACTTTCCTCATTTTGCTATGAATTGAACGATACCAGATGAGTCATACTTTGCCTTATATCACCCGCCAAATACCCCAGATACAGGCAGTGACATGTGATGCGCGGGCTCCGGTCAACGACCTGACCTTGGCCTACTTGAAGACAATTTGGCTTGCGAAAGTATGGCTCATCTGGTATTGTTCGATTCATAACGAAACGAGGAAAGTCCTACAAACATATTTATGATAACCAAACCTAACATAACCGCCACAGCGTGCTGTATAAGGGTGGCCTCCAGATAATACTAAAGTACCCATCATTCTTATGCATGCTTCCCTCAATGATACCGGTAGGAACTGTCACTTTTCATCAACACCACTTCTCAGCAAGACTAGACTTGCTGCGGTACGTTGCTGACTGTAGAGAAGCTACTGCGGTGGGCCACAGTCCCAGGGGGGCTTCACCCTTGTGATTGCGTTTTATCGGTTTCTTATCTCCGTTTTCCACTGACTGGAGACTAGTTGCTCTATGTAAAGACAGCCTCAATGGTTTTTTCGGCGGAACTGGTCTTGCAACTCTAGGATCTGAGTGTTTTTTGTAATATCTTGAAGATGATTCAGAGCTGTAATCTAAAGACTTCTGACTAACTGTTTCAATTTTTGACATCGGTTGGCAAGAACTAGGCCGGTTATAATTTAACTCTGGTTCAAAATCTAGTTTGTGATTGATTTTTTCTTTTTCATTAAGGTCAAACAGCGACGACCGTGCATCTCTGATGTGTTTTTGCCGTTGTTCCATACTTTCAGAATGTCTTCTGTGGGAATTTTTCTCACTTAGAGTTTCAGAACTGTAATCTGTGTTCTTATTCTTTTCTGTAAAATGAGTTTGATTGTGTTTGTGACATTTTGCAAAAATTGTGCTTTCAACATCTAAAGAATTTGTACTTCTCGCACTGTATAAATGTGATTCCTTCTTTTTTGATCTTCGACGTTTTTCTGTATCCGAGGCAGATATTTTCTCTAAAGATTTTACATTTTTGAGCTTTGAGTCTTCTAGTTTATTAGGGGCTTTAACTGTTGGTAACTGTTTTGTCTCTGTTGCACTCTTGTTTCCAACTTCAAGTCCAGGAAGGTTAGCCACCAAGGCCACTTGGGGTCCCTTCTGGAACACTTGAACCTCTGGCCGTGGTGAGGGTGACTTGACACTTGATGCAGTCGAGGCATTGGAACTTTGGGGCCTGATCTCCTCTCTTGCCCTTTCAAGAAGATCAGCAACCTAAAAAAAAGACGGAATTAGTTGATTAATTACTTAAAATCTAATGTAGTATAGTGTTTGTTGATAGGTAACACCTTGGTTAAGATTCATGGAGTCGATAAAGTGGAGCAGGGGGGATAAATTAATGAAAAGGGACAGTGAAATAAATTTATATTAATCGGAATTATCAAAATCACACCAAGCCAAATGCAATTCTTACCTGTTCTTCCAGATAAGATATGCGATGTGTCAATCGTAAATTGTCACTCCGAAAACTATCTCTTGTGCGCTCTGCTTCACCTGCCTGGAAACAAAAAAACGGTAGCCTAATAAAGTTATAAATTGTAGCATTATTAGTTATTATTTAGATTGCTCAAGTCAAAAGTGTTTAACCGTAGATTTCTAAATACCTGTATTTTGTAAATACAGGGTGATTATAAAAGAATGCCGGGATTTTAAACAGTCGTTGCTCCGGGGACTATACAAGATAATAAAATGATTTGGACGTCAAATTGAAGGGAAAAGAACAAAGTTTTTTTCTCATACTTTGATACAATTCGGAATAATGTAATAAAATTTAGATTTTCATCAATCTTATTTGAGTGTAAAAGTGGCTAAGTCTGTACACTGAGGGTGATCGGCGGGTTTATCTGATGTCTTAACTAAATCTTTTCAGGCACATAGACTCTATATTTTACAGATAACATCATGAAGTGTTGATTTAGGTATGTTCAACTCAATACTTCGTCGGGCAATAGATTTTTGGAGCTTGTGATGCAGAATTGTTGGATTTCTTGTTCTATGTCATCACTTGTTTTTAGCCAGTCAGGTGAATGTCCATTCAAAACACAATGTTGTCACCAAACTCATCAAACCAGCGTCAAATTTCTTTATCATCAAGTAGATTTAAATTTAGTTTAATTTAGCAATCGATATAAACTCTGTGAACCGACATTCTGTGCCTTCTGTTGCGCTGTAAACATTGCTCTGGCGACTGGCGTCAGGCGAGTGAGTCGTAATAGCGGCCTACCACCCCACACCAGTTTTCCGCATGCTAAGGTCAAAGTTTCCTCCCTTGCTAGACGGGAAACAAAACATAGGTATTTAAGCTTCAATTTCATGTATAAAACATTTAGTTACCATGAATAGTATCCAAGCAATTGCCATTTAAATCCCGGCATCCCTTTATAAACACCCTGTTACGGTATTGAATAACGTATAGAATTACTAGCGTGCTATACCTGTGCTTCCCAACGGGAAGCAGTTGGTCAGTTGTAAAGTCGGTGGCATATAGGCCCAGTATAAATGAACTTATAAATTAGTAGGGAAAAACAAGAGAAAACATCTGATTGTTTTATCTAATTTAAAAATCAGAGCATTTCCCTCAAATTTCACATCTATATCTATAAAAGAGGAAGTATGTATGTATGTATGTACCCTATGGACTCTGAAACCGCTAGACAGATTGTAATGAAACTTTCAGGCATTATTAAGCATTATTTAAGGATTGTTTGTGTGAAGTTTGGTGCAGATCCGTCAAAAGGGCTCCGCCCCAGAAGGTTTTAAGGGGACCAATGTCAGACTTTTGGAAATACAATGTTTACAAATAAATATAATTTAAAAGCAGATGTTTTCTTTCACCAACTGTTTTGTAGGTTTGAATCATCACAACATTCTGTAGTCATGATTTGAAATACAGTAGTGTCACACTGTTTTCACAGAATGCAGCACAGAAAAATATTTTACTTTTGGATAAGTCCAAATATATTAAACCCCAATCGCAGCACACCTGTGCACTCAACAACGTTTAAACTCTCCACTATTAAATATGTTAGTACCTATACATTTTTATTATTTTTATCGTAAAGAACAATAAATTACCATTTAAAGTAATAGTTTTTAGCGCAGCAACACTCGCCGGGTGACTGCTAGTAGTTTAACTAATGGAATTGTGGTTGGTAAACTTCTACGAGTTTTATACCACAGGGGTTCAAAAAAACATAATAAAAATCAATAGGAAACGTCAAATGACAAAAAGAAAGAAATGCAAAACTAACGTTTCTTCATTCTTAAAGAGTAACGTACTACAAAGTAGAAACCATATTGACTGGTGACAAGACTTGGGTACTTGTCAACTGTGAATATCGTAGGCAGCTCTTGAACTCCGTACCAGTAAAAACAAGTGTTTGAACTTGCATTGTGGGTATATCAGGTATTTAACAGCTTGTCCACACTCATCTGTTCATGTCTTAAATTAAAAGGCAATTACGAAGAAAAGCCAAAGAGCTTGCCTTCAAAATCAGTGCAGGATTTAAGGTACTTGCGACTCCCGTCCCTGCGGTGGAAATTCCCTACAATAGCAGTTAAATAGTTAAAATCTCCCACGATCATCATCATCATCGTTACCAGCGACCACGTATGAGTTCGTGTACATCTCAACATCTCCCGTGGGCCACAATCACGGGTAAATCATCATTGACACTCGCGACCGCGGCGAATTCGTGAACATCTCCCTTGGGATGAATTTACTGGGACATTATCATCAACACTCGTGACTGAGGCAAAATCATGAACATCACCCTCGGGCTGCTTGACACCCGTGACCACGGCGAAATCATGAACATCTCCCACAGGCAGCAATCACGGGGACGTCATCATTGACACTCGTGACTGTGGCAAAATCGTGACCATCTCACTCGGACCACAATCACGGCATTATCTTCGACACCCGTGACCTCGGCGAAATCATGAACATCTCCTTCGATACTCGCAAATACTGCAAAATTGCGGACATCTCCCGCAGACCACAACCGTAGGAACATCATCCTCACCAGCGACCGCGGCAAAATCGTTTACATCTCCCGCGGGCTACAATCACGGGGACATCATAATTGACACTTGCAAAATCGACTGAGGCAAAATCATGATCAACACCCTCGGGCTGCTCGACACCCATAACCACCGTGAAATCATGAATATCTGCCACGGGCCGTAATCACGGGGACGTCATCATTGACACTTGCAAATACTGCAAAATCGGGGACATCTCCTGCAGACCACAACGGTGGGAACTTCATCATCGTCACCAGCGACTGCGGCGAAATTGTTTACATCACCCGCGGGCCACAACCACGGGGGCATCATCATTGACATTTGTAACTGCGGCAAAATCTTTACCATCTCACTCGGGCCGCAATCACGGGGACATTATCTTCAACACCCGAGGCCGCGGCGAAATCATGAACATCTCTCGCGGGCCGCAATCATTGGGTGATCATTATCGACACCCGCTGCCACGGCGAAATCATGAACATCTCCCTCGGGCCGCAATCACGGAGAAATCATTTCTTGTCACCTGCAACCGCGGCAAACTGATAGTTAAAAAAAATGTGTTTTTCTGAAAAACTTTTGTCAATCCTTTGCTTATTGGTAAATCCGGCACTGTTTAAAATGTATCTAATATATACATTTACATATTGTTTTATTCATAAATTTCAACAACTTTCTAAAATGGATTACAAATTAATTAAGAATAATAAAGTATGAATAAATAGCTATTTAGGCACCTAATTACTTCTAACCAACATTTTCTTACCTTTTCCCTAACAGATAGAAGTTCAGCTCGGAGGGATGACATAAGTTGTTCTAGGTGGGGTGGTTGTCTTCTCATTACCACCAGTTGGGCTGGGTTTGGTGATACTGCCAACAACTTGAAGAGCTCGTCCTTGCTCTTGCAGAGAACTACTTTGCCATTGGCCTCCAACAACCTATAAACCAACACATCTATCAGCTAGGAAGTGCCTAGTTAGTAGTTATCCACTGCCAACAACTTGAATAGTTCATCCTTGCAGAGAACCACTTTGCCATTGGCCTTTAGCAACCTAAAAACCAACACATCTATCAGCTAGGAAGGGCCTAGTTAGTGATCCACTGCCAAAAACTTGAGTAGTTAATCCTTGCAGAGAACCACTTTGGCATTGGCCTCCAGCAACCTATAAGCATTGACTATATAACACTACTATAGTACTATAGTAGTGTTATATAGTCAATGCTATAAGCCAACACATCTAGATCATCTAAAAAAGATCTGTTTACACTGCCAACAACTTTAGTAGCTCTAGCTCATCCTTGCTCCTACAACGTGGTAAAGATCAGAGGTATAGTGGGGCGAGAACAAGGGGAGAGGACATTTTTTCCACCCTGCTTTTTCCATTAGTAATTTATTAATCCCGTATGTTAGTCATTTCTCAGACAATGGTAAGTTTTCCTAAACTGGAACATTTTTGATTACACCACTGATAAAGATGGCACTAATAGAAATACCCTCTCATCTTGTCTGACTCTCAGTATTTAAGTATTTTATCACCTTCTGAGATCCACTACAGTATAAAGAAGCAGTTTTTGTCCCAAGTCGCAGATTTTTACCATCTATCTATATATATAATACGCTAAGCCGATTTTTGTGAACAGAACTCCTCTCATATTTTTGGACCGATTTTGATGATTAAAGTGTCAAAAAAATTGCCCTGATCTGTAGTTTTGCAAAGTGTTTTTCGTTTTTTGATATCTTTATTAGTTTGGGCAGGATTTTCCATCAAAGTTGGATTTTTTCCCATAAGATTAACATGGAGGAAACTAGAAATTCAATTGGAAACTTTGTCTCCACTAATTTGAGAGAACGGCTGGGCGTAGAAACTTGGTAGGGGTGCCAAAAGAAAGGTCATGGTTTGTAGATGAGTTATCAAAAGAAAAACTAAGTAAATTCCCTTAGGGCTCTGCCCCAAAAGCCTTTAAAGATCCCTCTACAGATTTGTTTATGTTTTGACCATGTGGATAATACTTTTTAATGAAACAGCTGTTGATTTTTCAATTGTGTTTTAAACAACACACATTTATTGGGAGTTACTAAATTGTCTAAAAGAAGTATTTGCAATGCTATTTTCTGATTTTAAAATTTATTTTCTTCTGTATCATGTCATGTTTTGCAATATAACATTCAATTACGAAATCAGTGGAAATTCTTTTTATCACAGAACTCTTACAGTAATTTCTTATTGAACTATCTATTATCTGTTGTACGAGTTGTTGTCTGCCTTTTCCCCCACTTTTGCCTATATTTTATCATATTATTCTACAGATCATCAGAGGTTCACGAGATTATTGTTATACATGTTTTCAATCATTGGAAAAATCTTCGATTGTGTAATACAATACAAAATTATACAAGTGCAGAAGGGCACGTTGCCCATTTGAGCAGTGTCCATATTTTGCTAAATTAATAGTAGTTTACAGCCACTGGATAAAACATTTTATAATATTTATGTAAAATTATGTGCATGATTTAGAAAGTCATTAAGCTGTTAACTGCAATTTACTACAGACTTTTCATAGAGGTTACTTCGATGTTGTTAATTCAGCTTAATGAAAACCTAATATAGATAAGTATACAAATAAGAATTTGAACTCTTAGAGAGCCTTTGAATGTTATTAGAGTAACGAAATGGGTTGTGCATGTTTAGTAACGCTACTTAGCAACAAAAATCATTTAATTTATCTCTAAAAATATATTCTTAAAGTGCACTGAGCAGCAGCCTCGAAAATACTTTGACGCGTACCCATAGCTGTACGCTACGTGTTTTGTAGTTACAAAATGCTCAAAGTCACATTGTGACATTTATAATTCGGCTTATATTTCTCCAGCAGATTATTTATCTGCAGAAGAAGTTTATTGTGCTCTTATCGTGTGTAATAACATCCAAACACAGAAACCTGACCTAAAATGGTACCTATCTTGACAAATTATTTTAAGTGGTCTATATTACGGACCGTGGCTCACTGGGTTGTTAACATGATTTAAAATAACACGACATTTTGGCTATTAAAAAGGCACAAAGAGTAAATACTATTCAAGCAGCTACTGTCATGACAGAAAGGTCATATTCCTTTTAAACGAGATCACATCATCCTTTATAAGATACGTTGTTTAACAATGCATGTAAACGTCAATATTTACGTAACAGCCAATTTACAGTATTTATTGCTTTTTGGAAATGCCGCATTGTTATGTTATTTGAATTATTTGTTGCCAAAGAAGCCGCACAACCATATAAACGAGGAGGTCCCTAACAGTTCAAGAGTAAAAGCCAACTTCACTTCAAGTATATTCCACTACACCTAACTTTCCGTAGATGAATAATGAGCACAGAGACAGTGACCGTCGATTTCGACGGGTTTCACCTAGTTTATATATGATTCATCAATGATGAAATGGGGTGAAGGAATTTATTTATAACAATTTCCAACAAAATTCCCAGAATCAATTTGTCTGTGTTTGGAGTATAAAAATGTGCTACAGTCTGTTGGTGTTTATTATTATAATTTTTACTAGAAAGAACTTAAAAATAGAACTATTAACACTTTTTAATAGCCCATTATTCAAAGACAACGCTTGTAAAAACTATACATTTATATTTTGTTTTACAAATAAACATAAATTTTATTTTATGTTTAGCCAATTTTTAGGTTGTATAGCACTAAAACTGTATTAATTAACAAAATGATTTTTAATTCTGATGCCGAAACAAATTAGGTTGAGTTAGTCCAGTTCAATTCTCACATTGCTGGTCCACCAATAATACCATTTAGCAGAAAGGTCCCAACAAACAAGTCCTATGTGTGCAAAATCCAACAATTTAAAAATTATTCCTAAAATGGTGATGTTATGAATGCTCTCTTGTACATTTTTCAGTGTGTAAAGAGCTCTACTACTGATGTTTGACACGTTGCTGATTGAGTAACCGATCTTAATGTCTTCAAATCTCAATGGAACAAGAAATGAGAACACAAAAGTGAGGATTCCAGTCCAGATCCAAATGTAGTACAAAATAGGATGCAGTATTCCCAAAAACCACAGTGCATGATTTTGATACTGATATTTTGGGACAAAGAGGAGCCAAATTACAATAGAATGCAAGAAGGAGTATTTTCTAACCAAGGTCAGTTTGTACTTGGAGCCACATATTTCACATGACAAACGCAAGGATGAGTCTATCCAAGCTTGAAGGCAGTCTGCATGGATCATACTCATTGACCCCCTACACTCGCATGGTGAAGGCAGCAGTTGTCTGCTTAGCTCAGAACTGCTGCGACAGATTCTACATTCTCTCTTCTCAAAATGATCCATTGCTGAAGACATTATCAAGGCTAAATTATTACTAAAAGTAATTTACAGCTATGTCATAATAACTTGTGACGTTAAACAAAAATTTAATTAACTTTAGGTTAGAACTATTTTTGTTTAGGATTTTTCCTTGTTTGTTATTAGTTTTAAACATATGTTTACAACTGGCAAAAAACTTACTATATAATTATTATTATTATATTATAGATGAGAAAGTTTGGATGGATAGATGTTTGTGACAAGTAAATGCAAAAAATACTGGTCAGATTGGGCTGAAATTTGGTGTGATTATAGCTCACATTCTCGATTAACATACAGGGTGATTGATATAAGTGTGCCAGCCATTTTATTCGAAAACTATAAGAGATATCAAAAAAAGTTAAATGGTAAGTGCCTTAGATTTTTTATTTAAAAAATTGTAGTCACGTCAAAAAAATTATTTTAGCCACCATTTTTCTAATATGGCCGCCAACTTTGATTTTCTTATGGTACACCTTGTATTTTATGATGTATTCTGGAAGAAAATGTAATTTTAAGACAATTTTATTCTTGTGATTTTTTTCATAAACCTAACCGTTTCAAAGATAATATTGGTTAAAGTTTTGTAATTTCTGCATGAGAAAGAGTTTCGAAAAAGGCCTAAGCAAGCATGCCAGCTGTTTTATTCGAAAACCATTCAAAATTTCACAACTTAAACCATTATTATCTTTGAAACGGTTGGGTTTATGAACAAAATCACAAGAATAAAATCGTCTTAAAATTACATTTTCTACCAGAATACATCATAAAATACAGGGTGTTCCATAAGAAAAATCAAAGTTGGCGGCCATATTGGAAAAATGGCGGCTAAAACAACTTTTTTGACTTGACTACAATTTTTTAAATAAAAAGTCCAAGGCACTTACCTTTTAACTTTTTTTGATATCTCTTATGGTTCTAGAATAAAACGGCTGGCATACTTATATCAATCACCCTGTATAGACACATTCTTATCTCAAAAATCCTTTCGGGCTCTGCTCCAGTGGCTCTAGAGTTTCCCATGTTAACCTTATGAGTATTCATATTTAAAAGGAACTAACTGTTACCCACGCTTCACCCCGTTTGACTTCATAAGTATTAATAAAACTATTGATTAAGAATAAGAATCTTTATTACCCTTTAAACATTTTACAGTGAAATAGGGTTCGTCATTTGCTACATTAAAATGTAATTAAATATTTCACATAAAATAGTAACAAAGATAATTTAATTAAATAAGTTAAGACAAGCTGGCCTGGTTCTAATCCAAAATCTAGTTTACTAATGGCAGGTACATGGTGAAACTGTAAAGAAGTGATTTTGACTCCCTAGATAATTTTGAGGTTAAAGCTACAAAAGTACTCGGACACACAAAAATGACTCCAAAGGAGGGGAAAGATGCTCCGATAGGGGAGGTAAGGTAAGGTAGTCCCACCACTTGGGTACCATTCGGCAGGTATAAAACCAGGGTATTGGACACCAGGAAGTCAGTTGGGCCTCCGGGCCCGATCCCACTGGATGGGCGAGCCGAGCCACCGGTGTGGGGCCAGATGGGTGTGCTGAGCCCCGGGCACCGTCGGACGGGTGTGTTGAGCCCCCGGCACCCTCGCATGTGCGTGTTCAACCACGGGTTCCGCTGGACGGGCGTGTTGAGCCGTTGGACGGGCGTACTGAGCCCCCGGCACTTCCCGCATGGGCGTGTTGAGCCCGCGGGTTACCTGATGGGCGTGTTAGCAACATGCTCCGATGGACGGGCGTGTTGAGCCCCCGGCACCGTTGGACGGGCGTGTTGAGCCCCCAGCACCTCCTGCATCGGCGTGTTGAGTCCGCGGGTTACCTGATGAGCGTATTGAGCCACGGGTACCGCTGGATGGGCGTGTTGAGCCGTTGGACGGGCGTATTGAGCCCCCGGCACCTCCCGCATGGGCGTGTTGAGCCCGCGGGTTACCTGATGGGCGTGTTAGCCACGTGTTCCGCTGGATGGGCGTGCTGAGCCCCCGGCACCCTCGCATGTGCGTGTACAACCACGGGTTCCGCTGGACGGGCGTGTTGAGCCATTGGGCGGGCGTATTGAGCCCCCAGCACCTCCCGCATGGGCGTGTTGAGCCCGCGGGTTACCTGATGGGCGTGTTAGCCACGTGTTCCGCTGGACGGGCGTGTTGAGCCCCCGGCACCGCTGGATGGGCGTGTTGAGCCACCAGGACCGCTGGACGGGCGTGTTGAGCCACCGACACCCTTGCATGGGCGTGTTGAGCCCGCGGGTCCGTAGTCTTAGGTGGAGGGGAGGACTTTGTAGTCCCCCACCACCTTAAAAGCGTATGCATGGGTATACGTTGAGTATTGACGGAGTTTACGTCGGACTGCGGACCGAGTAAACTGCCTAGAGAGTGCTAACTTCTGAGCCAGAACCGTCTCCAGTGGAGAGTAGTAGCACATTAAACCGGCCCAGCTTGACTTCTGTGCAGGAAAGCCAGAACCGTCTCCAGTGGAGAGTAGCAGCTAGGGGACCGAAGATTCCGGGGTGAAGAAATATTGATAGTGTAAAATTTTTAGGTATCTTTCTTCAGTCAAATATGAAATGGAATATGCACATAGATTTTGTCTGCAAGAGGGTTTCAAAAGCCATATTTTTGTTGAGAAAATTAAAATGTATTGTCACTGTAGATGTATTGATATCAGTATATTTTGCTTTTGTACACTGTCATTTGTTGTATGGTATTTTTGTTTGGGGAACTGATACTAATGTAAAAAAAATGTTAAAACTACAAAAAAGAGCAATGAGAGTTATGGCAGGAGCACACTCCCGTGAACATTGCAAACCTCTGTTTAAAAAATTTAAAGTTCTTACCGTCACTTCAATGCTTGTTCTTGAAAGTATTATGTATGTTAAGTTAAACTCAAACGTTATTACTACAAACAAAATTGTTCATAGTCATCACACAAGAAATAATAATAATTTTAGGATAAACCAATGTAATTATCAAAGCACAATTAATTGTTAGTTCTTTTGAGTTAGGAATAAGACTGTTCAATATGTTACCACCTCGCCTTAAAAGTTTAGAACCTGTATGTCTTAAGAAACAGATGAAATGTATTTTGTTGCAGCTTAGTGTATATTATTTGAATGAATTCATTGATAATTATAAATCAATGGACTGATGCATTTGATTTGTAAATAATTTGTTGTACAGTACCTATTTTTGACGTTGTCATACATTGTAAATGTGTTGCGGCAATAAATGATTTGACTTTGACTTTGACTTTGAAGGTACCAAGAATCTAGACCGCGGACCCACACGGATATCTTTTAGGAGTGTCGTAGACCACCGGACCAATAAGGGCGCAAGCAAGACTTGATCCAACCTCTGCCCAACCCCTGAATACGAGCCTGGAGACACTGCCTAGTAGGAGGACTACGGACTCAGGATCAAGAGTGTATATACGATTGTACATAGAAACATATGTGTTAGGATAAGGATAGTATGGAATAAAATGGAAGTGTAAGATACCCTGTCTTTCACTTATCTATCCTTACCATCCTTGATAAGGCCTAGTGCTCTGGAGGAAACTTCCTCACAAAACATAAGGCAAAAAATATGGGAAAAATACAATTCGAAATAGAACGAGTACATAGAAACAATACTAACATGGCAGGATGATAAAAATAGATTTTGAAACAAATTAATAAAGGGAAATAAACATATGACTATATCAAAATGGTTAAAATCAGAAACAAACCTAAATAAATATGACTAGAATGGCACAAAAACCTTATACAAGTTTGGTGTCGTTGCGTTTCCTTTTAAAACATCAGATTTGAAATATCGCTTTTAAATTATAACTAACATGGTGAGAGGTGTAATTTAGTTTGTTGAGAAGTGTTATACCTATGAATTCAAAAGAATGTTTAGCAAGTAACCTTACTTAGCAAAAGGAACATTAATCAAGTGAGAGCTTCTAGTGTTGTGAGTTAACATTTTCATTTAAACCTAAACTACTGAATTTCCTTTTAACATGCAACAAACATAGAAGGATGTACATTAAAACAATCATTAACAATCATTGAGCTAGATCGGGTGCATTATTGACAATTCTAACAGCTCTCTTTTGACAAATCAAAACATCATAGACATTACTACCATTACCCCAGATAAGAAGGCCATAGGCGACACTATCGAATAGAGCAAAGTATACCATTTTAAGGTAACTAATTTCAACACAATCTTTTAATTTCCTCAAAAGGCAGATGGCTACTCAGTTTTTTGCAGACATTACTGATTTGGTGGTTCCAAGACAGTCTAGAATCAAGAGTGATACCTAGAAGGTTAACTACCTTATCCTTATTGTACTCAGAGCTCTTTAAAGAAAATACAATTTTTGTGTTCATTTAATTTGAACCAATTGGCAACAAAAAGCTGTGAAAAATTAAAATTTCCCTTTTTTATTGTTTAGGTACAGTGGTAGAACATTATGGCTATGGTAGATGTGCTATACTATAGCATAACGTAAATCAAAAGAATCAAATTTTCTTGAACCGTGTCCTCTCACATTGCAAACGCAATAATATAACTGCAATAAGCATTCTATACTTACAGACGCCAACCCCGTCCCCGTACGAAGGACGGGTACTCTGCTAGAAGTTTTATATAAAAGTGTATACATTATTTTTACTTTTTTATTGTACATTTTCTATTGTAGTCACCAGATAAACCTTTATATTCAGTGAACAGTAATAGTATAAAAATTAAATTTTATTATTTTGTTACCAGGGTATTTTGAGGGCCTAACACAAAAGGTTCCATATTAGTAATTCTGGACGTTAATTGACTTTGACTGACCGATCTCCTTTGATGAGGCCAGAGTCCTCAACCGCCCACTCCACGTACAGCCCGGAGTTGTCGTCTCTAGGAGCTGCCCCAAACCGAGGACTTTTGGGGTCAAACACCAACTCTACAGCATGCAACGTCACTGCGGAACTGTCCTTCACATAGCTGTAAAAGCAAACAAGAGCACCATTTATGAATCATCAATTTACCAAGGAAATGCCAAGGTCTGTTCCAAAAGAAAAGTAATAATTAATAAATATTACGGTACTAAATATATAACTAAATATATTACTAAATTATATTTCTAAATATTACTAAATATATTACTAAATATCCTATATTACTACTATATATTACTAAATATATAAAAAAAATCCTAAAAAGTATATTTTAAAAATGGCTATGTTATTCTTATGGAGAATAATTAAACAATTGTAGTTTGCTTGTTTATGGAATACGACTGGAGTCGTGGTTAGGCGTTCGACCCGCGTGCGGGCTAAAAATAGTTTATTAATACCCTGAAGAAGCGGAACGTTGTTTTGAGTTCCGCGAAACGTCGGACCTTGATGCCGTGGACGATTTTGTATTGTATATATGTGTGTTTATGTGTGTTTTGACGAGTCCCGGACATCACAAACAAAAATAAAGGTGAGTGAAGCCCACAAAAATCTACGTCAATAATAACACCTCGCCTAAAAGCATGTCGTTCAAAAACAGAATCTATATGTTTTGGTCTAAACACCTTTAGTGAAATACCAGATTTCATTTGAGCTATTGATTATTAAGATTCCAATCTTAATAATCCTACCTAAAGCACACTGCTGAATCACGAATCAAAAATAATTATAATCGTTTAGGTACTTATCTGCAATCAATGATACGTAACTCAAATTTTACTAAAGTTATTTTATATGTCTTGGTCTTAAAATACTTCAAAGGCTTTCACTTGAGATATTGATGGTTTTAATCAGTTAAGTTAAAGATATCCTGAATCGCTCAATCAGAAAACATAAATTTAATTATATCTTGGATATGGAATTTAGTTTTAGATATATTTACTCAATCCTAATTACGTTATTCTATTTGTTTTGACCTAAGAACCTGCAGTGAAATACCAGCTTCCATTTCAATTATTGGTTATTGTGATCGGACGTACCTAAAGCACACTGCTAAATCACGAACCAAATAAAATAAATTCGTTATCATCGATTTATAGTCGAACGGTCTTGCTTGCAACCTCAACAGCAACTGTCAGACTTTGACAGGTATTACTTAGTAAATCTAAAAATAATCTAACTTTCATAATTATTTGCAAATCTACACGAATTAGGCTTTCCAATGACCTATTAATTAATAAAATCGGTTCAGTAGAACTGTAGATTTAATTGTACAAAATCTTTAGTTCAGTATTTTCTCACCATTATAAATTGGGAGGTTGCTTAACGTTTTTGCAAATAACTTTGAAATGGTGAGGAAATCGACCAAAGTGGAAGGTAATATTCTGATAGAGAATAAAATTTCCTACAAATTATCAATATGTTTTTCTGGAAAATACTCAATAAAGGCAGCCTAAAGTTGGCTACAAATATAAACTTGGAAAAAAAGGTGTTTTAAATGTAATATTGTTTATTTTTATTGTTTTACCTCAAATATGTAATAAAATCAAACTTTCATAATTATTTGCAAATCTACACGCATTAGGATTTCCAACGACCCATAAAGTAACAGAATCGGTCCAGTAGAAGTCTAGATTTAGTTGTACAAAGTTTAACAAAAATATATCTAATTCAGTATTTTCTCGCCATCACTATAAATTTGGAGATCACTTAGATTATTGCCAATATCTTTTAAATGGAGGGGAAATCGACCAAAGTGGATGTGATATTCTGAAAGAGAATAAAATTTACTACAAATAACTACCATGCATTTCTTGAAAACGCTTAATAAAGGCAGACAAAAGCTGGCTACAAATAGAAACTTGAAAACAGAAACTTGAAAAAAGCAGTTTTTAATGTATTTTTGTTATTTTTACTTTTTTACCAGTAAGATTTAATAAAACTAGGTGGCGTTTGCAGAGGCATCCACAAAATTGAGCGGAGTCATCAAGGGTTCATATTATATTGTTTTTGTCATACTGCAGTAAAAACAGTAGTTTTTAATGCATGCGTTGCGGGTCTAAAGTAGCATTTTTTAATATTTAGGGAGTAAATTTTTTTTAAGCTTCTATGGAGTAAAAATCAGTAGTTGTCAACTCAGTTGTAATTTTCGATTGTAAACGATTGCATGTATAGACAATATGTATCGATTCGTGCTTTGTAATCAATTAACATACAGTCAACAGTCTCTTCCCGTAGCATTTTAGCATTGCAGATACGTTAATTTAATTGCCAAAGACAGTTCCCACACTCTGCACTGCTAGCCTTACTACTTCCTTCGCCATTTACTACGTCATAGACCTGTTTCCTTCCTTTCTCATAGCATTTTAGTATTGAAGATATATTAATCTAACTGTCACAGACGGATCTCACACTATGCTATTGCTCATACTTTACTACTTCCTAAGCCACTTCCTACGTCGTAGACCTGTATTCATCCCTTTCCATAGCATTTTAGTATTTTAGATACGTTAATTTATTGCCACAAATGTTACCACACTCCGTAATGCTAGCCTTTACTACTTATTTCACTACTTCCTACGTCGTGGACCCGTTTCCTTCCCTTCCAATATCATTTTAGGATTGCAGATACCTTAATCTAATGGTCACAATCAGATCCCACACCCCGAAAAGCTCACCTTTACTACTTCCTTCACCACTTCCTACGTCGCGGACCTGTTTCCTTCCCTTCCAATAGCATTTTAGGATTGCAGATACCTTAATCTTATCCTCATAAACAGTTCCCACACTCCGGACAGCTCGCCTTGACTACTTCCTTCACCACTTCCTACGTCGCGGACCTGTTTTCCTACCTTCCCATAGAATTTTAGGAATGCAGATACCTTAATCTAATCGTCATAAACAGTTTCCACAGTCCAGACTGCTCGCTTTTACTACTTCCTTCACCACTTCCTACGTCGCGGACCAGTTTTCCTCCGTTCCCATACCATTTTGGGATTGCAGATACCTTAATCTAATCGTCATAAACCAGATCCCACACTCCAAACTACTCGCCTTAACTACTTCCTTCTCCACTTCCTATGTCGCGGGCCTGTTTTCCTACCTTCTCGTTAAATTTTAGGAATGCAGATACCTTAATCTAATAGTCATAAACAGTCTCAACAACTCGCAGACTGCTCACCTTTACTACTTCCTTCACCACTTCCTACGTCACGGACCTGTTTCCGTCCCTTCCCATAGCATCATAGGATTGCAAATAGGTTGCCTTAATCTAATGGTCACAAAGAGATCCCACACCCCGAACAGCTCGCCTTTACTACTTCCTTCACCTCTTCCTACGTCGTGGACCCGTTTCCTTCCCTTCCAATAGCATTTTAGGATTGTAGATACCTAATCTATTCGTCATAAACAGTTACCACACCACGAAAAGCTCGCCTTGACTACTTCCTTCACCTTTTCCTACGTCGTGGACCCGTTTCCTTCCCTTCCAATAGCATTTTAGGAATGCAGATACCTTAATCTAATCGTCACAAACAGTTCCCACAGTCCGGACTGCTTGCCTTCACTACTTCCTTCACCACTTCCTACGCCACGGACCTGTTTCCCTCCCTTCCCATAGCATCATAGGATTGCAGATATTTTAATCTAATGGTCACAAACAGTTCCCACGGTCCGGACTGCTTGCCTTTACTATACTTCCTTCACGTACTTCCTTCACCACTTCCTACGTCACGGACCTGTTTCCGTCCCTTCCCATAGCATCATAGGATTGCAAATAGGTTACCTTAATCTAATGGTCACAAAGAGATCCCACACCCCGAACAGCTCGCCTTTACTACTTCCTTCACCTCTTCCTACGTCGTGGACCCGTTTCCTTCCCTTCCAATAGCATTTTAGGATTGTAGATACCTAATCTATTCGTCATAAACAGTTCCCACACCACGAACAGCTCGCCTTGACTACTTCCTTCACCTCTTCCTACGTCGTGGACCCGTTTCCTTCCCTTCCAATAGCATTTTAGGAATGCAGATACCTTAATCTAATCGTCACAAACAGTTCCCACAGTCCGGACTGCTTGCCTTCACTACTTCCTTCACCACTTCCTACGCCACGGACCTGTTTCCCTCCCTTCCCATAGCATCATAGGATTGCAGATATTTTAATCTAATGGTCACAAACAGTTCCCACGGTCCGGACTGCTTGCCTTTACTATACTTCCTTCACGTACTTCCTACGCCACGGACCTGTTTCCCTCCCTTCCCCTAGCATCATAGGATAAAAAAAATACCTTGATCTAATGGTCACAAACAGATCCCACACCCCGAACAGCTCGCCTTTACTACTTCCTTTGCCACTTCCTACGTCGCGGACCTGTTTCCTTCCCTTCCAATAGCATTTTAGGATTGCAGATACCTTAATCTATTTGTCATAAACAGTTCCCACACTCCGGACAGCTCACCTTGACTACTTCCTTCACCACTTCCTACGTCGCGGACCCGTTTTCCTCCCTTCCCATAGAATTTTAGGAATGCAGATACCTTAATCTAATCGTCATAAACAGTTTTCACACTCCGGGCAGCTCGCCTTGACTACTTCCTTCACCACTTCCTACGTTACGGGCCCGTTTTCCTCCCTTCCCATAGAATTTTAGGAATGCAGATACCTACCTAAATCTAATCGTCTTAAACAGTTTTCACACACTCCTAACTGTTTACCTTTACTACTTCCTTCACCACTTCCTACGTCGCGGACCAGTTTTCCTCCCTTCCCATAGAATTTTAGGAATGCAGATACCTAAATCTAATCGTCATAAACAGTTTCCACACTCCGGACAGCACGCCTTGACTACTTCCTTCACCCCTTCCTACGTCGCGGACCCGTTTTCCTCCCTTCCCATAGAATTTTAGGAATGCAGATACCTACCTAAATCTAATCGTCTTAAATAGTTTCCACACTCCTGACTGTTTACCTTTACTACTTCCTTCACCACTTCCTACGTCGCGGACCAGTTTTCCTCCCTTCCCATAGAATTTTAGGAATGCAGATACCTAAATCTAATCGTCATAAACAGTTCCCACACTCTGGGCAGCTCGCCTTGACTACTTCCTTCACCACTTCCTACGTCACGGACCTCAAGCTAGTGTCGTCATTTGATTATATTTATGATCCATACCACCGTTTATGTTCTGATATCTGTGGAATAATGCTATCAGCTATTTATTTATCTACTGCATTCAAAAGTCAACAGCTGATCATATGTCTTTTTTTATGTGTCAAATACTGCTTCCATAAGGATTACATTGAAACTTTGAGACCCAGTGGGGCGGATTCCTGAGAGACTTTTTTAACGCCACATAGATGTTGGCACTCACCGATATGGTCTTTATCACCATGCAAAATTTGAAAACGATTGATTCAGCCGTCTAGGAGGAGTTTGCGTATTACGAAATGCATAAAAGTCGACGTATAAGAGCTTCGCTCGCTCCGCTCAATAACACTTTCATAATTATTTGCAAATCTACATGAGTTGGGATTTCCAATAACCCATTAATTAACAAAATCGGTCCAGAGTAGAAGTCTAGATTTAGTTGTACAAAGTTGAACAAAAATATCTCTAACTCTGTATTTTCTCATTACTATAAATTTGGAGGTTGCTTACCTTTTTTGCAAATAACTTTTAAATGGTGAGGAAATCGACTAAAGTGGAAGGTGATATTCTGAAAGAGAATAAAATTTCCTACAAATTGATACCATACACTTCTTGGAAACACTAAAAAAGGCAACCAAAAGTCTCACTCAAATAAATAAACGGTATCAGCATTCTGACACATACTTTCTCCCATAAGTTTGTCAACAACCTTTATCATGTGTAAGCGGTGAGAGTAAATATGCGGAAACGGGATTTGTACAATTTTGTTCAGAATTTAAGGACTATAACATACCGTTCTAAATTTTTATCAAAATTGTTCGGGCCATTTTTGGGAAAATCCGATTTTCTGTTATTTTATGGGGTTTTTATGGGAAAATAACATAATTTACAATAACTTTTGAACCGTAAATTTTTACAGATATGGGATTTGTACCATTTTGTTCAGAATATAAAGGACTATAACATACTATATCTTGATCAAAATCGTTCTTGCCATTTTTGGGAAAATCCTATTTTTCCATTATTTTATGGGGTTTTATGGGAAAATCCCCATTAAAAATCAAAATTTATAAAAAATGATAAAAAACTATCAAAACTGTATGGACCATAACATACTATATTAAATCAAAACCGGATTAAAACCGTCTCACCTAAATAAAAAGTGTTAAAAACACCGTTTTCAATGTATTTCTTATGGAAAACATTTTTTTTTAGAAATTTTTCACCATAAATCATAACAAAAACAAACTTTTATAATTATTTGCAAATCTACACGAATTAAGCTTTCCAACGACCCATTAATTAATAAAATCGGTCCAGTAGAACTCTAGATTTAGTTGTACAAAGATTTTTAAAACTGAATTATATATATAGAACAGATATTAATTGTACTTTTAGTGAAACATTCATAAAAAATAAACTACTCTAAGTTTGCGCTCAGCTTAAAAAAAATGTTTTACACATTTGATCTGCATTCCATTTGATTAAAATTCTTAATTTATACAGGTGCACTAATGCAAGTCACCAAAGCACTCACTTGAAGATAGTGGCGCTCTCTCGATTGTTACTAGATTCAAGTGCTGCTTGTAGATTTCTACTTTCTTCCAAGATACTAAGCAGATTAAGTTCCTCTCTCCCCAACTGATATTCCAGTTCAGCCTGTTGGATTCTCACGTCTATGTTGCTAAACAAAAGTCAAAGTTAGTAAAACTGTTATTTGTAACACTAATAATAGGCTTATACTTCACATGTTTAGCTGATGTAGAAATCTAACTATCTTTATACTAAGCAATGATGTAGATATTAACAATGAGATTTGTATAAACTGGTTCAACTGTCAACCTCGCTGTCTCTCTTCCAGTATATTTTATAGAAATAGTAAAAAAAAAAACACTTTCTTTATAAATAACTAGCTGATGTACCTGTGCTTAGCAACGAGATGAAAATTCAGTTTCGAAGAATGGGTGTCCCCGTAACATCATAACATATATTGATAGTTAAAACTATCTCCAGGTTGATACAGCAACGGTTATAGAATCTTATTTTTTATTTCCATAATCAACGACATCGGTTTAGAATAAATAATCAATGACAAAGTTTTAGAATAAATAAACTTACCTCATAGTTGTGAAAAATTATTCTATTGTTTAATTTGTTTGGATCAGCTGTCTGAAATTTTGAAATAAGCATTTGGGAGTTCTGCTTGTTTATTGAAATGTCAAAGCAAAGGTAAACATTGTGAGTTTTCTCATGCTTCCATGGAGACCATGAGACCAATCATAATATTTACTTTTGAAAACCTCATCTCAAAACATTGGACGTCCAAGGTGTTAGCCCAAGAGGAACGCAACGGAAGTGAACAGGCCTAAGACATTCCTTTAGATATGTGGACCATCTTTGTGCTTAATTTTGGCTGTATTGGTTTGGTATTTTAGTTGTGAGAGCCGCTCAGGCAGACAGTCACCACCTCAATTAGTATAGATGTTATCGTTTTGTAGCCGAGCAAACAAAAACTACTGAAATTCAAGCCAGCTAGCTGTTCGTCTCATTAAACAAATCTCTCCACAAAATAAATCACGGAAAGTAAATACAAGAAACATCTTATAACACTTAAAACATATATTTATGCTTATAGTGTTACTCACAAGATGGTAAATATACAAAATACCCCCACCGCAGAAATCCTGCAGACTAAGCGAATTTCCACTTATCTAATTACATTTTTACTAAAATATTTCCATAAATAAGCATTTAATCCCAATTTAAATAGCATTAGATTGAACGAGTGCTTAGGTTTGCTGCTACGGGGAAGGTAAAAAGTGTTTTTGACCAAACGTCAATAGTATAGTATGAAATGAATAAATTTGCCAAATTTTATCAACATATATATCCAATATATATCCATAAACAAGTAAACTACAACAGTTTTCATTTTCTCCATAAGAATAACATAGGGAATTTTAATTTACACTTTTTTGAATTTTCTCTGTAACCATTAGGCATACAACAATGCTTCAATATACTAAATTATTTCTTTTTTTAAGCTCTACAAAATGGTTGGGAAAGATATTCCAAAATTTTATGTTTTTAGGGTAAAAAATGGGAATAACCCATCTTTACCCCATAAAATCCCCCATAAACCCCTGTTCCCATGGTCCGATCATGCTGGTTCGCGAACTCGTTCGAATAAATGTAGGTTTACACCAAATTTTATAACATATAAACATATATTTTATTCCATATCCCCCATCCAAAAGGGCGTCTTGAATCTTGAATGGCGTCCCTACTTATATCCTATTGGCTACCGGAAGCACCGGCCAATAAAATTTAATAAGTACAACTGGAATAGAAATTTACTTTTTCATTAATCAACTTATTTCTATTTTTACATTTTTCCTTATAAATAATTCTTCCCATGCATTCATTATACATATCCTTTCTTACAATTCTTTAAAATACCTAGACTATCCTCCATTTTTCCTATTGAGTGGCCATTTTGTAACAGGTGTTGTGCGACATTTGATCTTTCCGGTTTGTTGTTCCTCCACGCAGATATGTGGTTTTTGAAGCGGTTGACCAAGTTCACAGTCTGTCCAATGTAGAAGCTATCACAATCGTTACAAATAATTTTATAGATACCCGAAGCGTCGAATTTGTTACAATTTTCTATTTTGGGATGCAGTATTTTACTCATGGTGTTCTTGACCTGTAGGCTATTGAAACTCTGTATTTCTTGAATCTGTTAGCAGTCCTTTGTGTTTGTGCAGTCCCCGTGTAGCTAAATGTGACATATATCTGGTGTTTTCCTCTTTTATCTCTTCTAATGTTGTTCTGCTGTGTAGTGTATTCTGCCTATAATTTGATTTTCCTCCTCGACTTTCTTGCGATGTCCTCTATTGTCTTGATTCGAAATCCATTAACTTGAGCGATCTTCTTAATGGTGTCCAGTTCTTTCTTCCTATTGGCTTGGCTAAGTGGGATCTTATAGGCTCGGTACAGCATGGATCTAAAGGCTGCAGTCTTGTGGATTTTCGGATGAATAGACTTGCTGTTGTTTGTAGTGTCCGTTTGCGTAGGTTTACTGTAGATGTCAAACTTGATCTTGCTGTCTTTTCTCTCTAATGTGAGGTCCAGGAAATTGATCTTTTTGTTTTCTTCAAACTCGTTGGTAAAGGTGAGATTCGGATGGTGGCTGTTTAGTGTCTGCATCATCGTTTCGTGGTCTTGCTCCTGGGCTTGTCTGAAGATAATGCATTCAAGATTCGTACCATTCGCCAATTAGGTCTGATGATGATTGGAGTGTCCAATCTAAATCGATCACCACTTACCATCTTTTTTTCATTTACCATCTTGTGAGTAACAGTATAAGTGTAAATATATGTTTAAAGTGTTATAAGACATTTCTTTTATTTACTTTCCGTAAATTTAATAACACGTACAAAGAAGTTACTGTATTTAAAATAAATCATTATTTTACTAAGCGCACATCTGGCAGAGCATTCATAATTTACAAAATTCAAAAGGTACAACGTTATGGCTTCTTGCCCAAACTGGTTTAAATGTGTTTGAGGAACAGAACTGGAACGTATGGTATATTATAAAGTGGTTTTCGCCATGGAGGAGCCTTCTAAAGATACAGTGCAGTGTACTAGGATTGCTTTCATAGCAATGAAAGCCAGTAGAGTGGAAGGATCACGTTTCATGGTTTTTAATGAAGTGATAAATTTAAAACAACGTTCATAGATATAAGAGAAATTTCATCAATTTAACTTATCAGTTTGTCTCAAACATAAGTTTCATGAGTAAAAATGTGGACATTATTACATGCATATCCTTTGTAGGCTGAATGTAGCATCCAGCCGCAAGGGAGTGAGTGTGTTAAACAGGTTTTAAATTTCACAATATAGGATAAGAAGTTTGCACTGTTTAAAGTAAATACGTAATAAGACCGCATGTTTATAATAGGCTAGCCTATTTAGATAATACTAGTGGTTGTCCAGTGGTCGAAAACTTGACCAAAAATATGTAATGTACATGCATTGACTATTGGATACTGAAGTGTTTGAGGAAACTGTTTTGGTTGGGTACAGTGGCGGTTCCAAGGGGGGGGGCTATAGGGGCTAAAGCCCCCCCCCATGGGCTTTTCGAAAATTAATTTAAACATACATTTCGTCCTCACACGCGCAATATTATAAAACATACAGCAATGAAGTTTTGACCAAACTAAATAAGTGATTTAGGTATTAGTATTATACAGTTCCACATTGAAAAACGTTGTTGGACAAATAATAGCACGATGAATAAAATAATATTACCATTACGCATTACGCTATGCCTATCAGTGATTGTACGCATTGTCCTCTTTTTACAGCTGTCAATTGTTGATTAGATTAGATTAAATAGCGAGGGCCGAGCGGCGAGCGCGCGACAGTGAGAGGGGGGAGGCGGGGGAAACAGCTGATTTCAAGTTCATACTTGTCAAATCTTCTGCTAGCTACTATTGTAATTTGCACATACATGCATTACAGTCAGCTCAGCGGTAGCGCCTTTTTTTTGTTACTACTGTCGTGAGTTGTAGACCAAGTTACTGCTTCTGTTGGCTACTTCACATATTTTATGTAGTGCTGAAAACTTCAACAGTTAAGCAATGGAGAAAAAACGTAAGGGACACGGACCTTCAATCCTGTCATATTTCAAGAAACTAAATTCTGGCATAAACACCACCGCACCGACTTCTTGTGAAGAAGAAGCAGATTTAGACAAAAAGGTAAGGCTGAGTTAATACTTCTGTTCTAGTAAATTAGAAAATTATATAGTATATATATACAACGTTTATTATAACTGACGTCTCACAGTATTTTTGCAAACGATTTAATTTCCCACCTAAAAAAGCTCGTTAAGCTGTCAACAGGGCCGGTTCTAGGAATTTTTCAGAGTTAAGCGAACACCCGAATCAGCGCCACTTAGGATTTCCCCACCACCCCCCTCCTCAAACCAATAACATAACATAACCGTATTTGTGAATTTTTTCCCAATAATTTTGGGAAGAACTTTTTTATAAGTTTAGGTTAGAAGAATACTAGCAATAAAAGACTGTTTATTATTCACATAAATTTAACATTTTTACACTTTTACTCATCATATAAACTTTAGCAAAACCAAGGCCACACTAAAAAAAAACGGGCCGTAATCAAGGCCACACTAATGCTCGTCAAGCATGACGTCACGATAGAAGACGGCAATGACGTAATGTTTACCGTTTGTAATCAGCTGCTTGTTTTAATCTTTCCTTGGAAAATAAATAAATAAATAAAACCTACGTCATTGCCGTCTTCTATCGTGGCTTCTTTGGGCTGACTGGACCAAGGCCACACTAGAAAAAGCAGGCCATGCTTCAGGATCCATGACGTCACACTAGTGGATAGATTTCATTGATAAATTCATTGCCATCACCATTCCCATATGTTTTAGGTAAATAAACAAGCTGGCTGTTTGTAAGATTTTAATGGTAAGAGTTTAGTACAACTATCCACCATCCACCACTGTGACGTAGTGTTGCGCTACCCGCATGGCCTGTTTTTTCTAGTGGGGCCTTGACTGGACTCGCCACCAGATGATTTAAACAAAAATCTACTCATTGATTTGGCTTGTTTTTTATCTTCCTCTTCCAAATTCGCCTTACCC